AGTTCTGGACTGAAATCAAGTATCATTCTAATGACTGGCTAGGGCTGGGGGACAAAATTATGCACTGAAAATAATTAAGAAGAAAAACCCCACTGTGATAGAGTGTGCTGGTCATCACTGTATATATGTATGTGCCTTTTGCCAGCATCCTGTAATGAAGAGTGATTGGCAGGTGATGGAGGATGCCCAGAAGACAAGAGGACAAAGTGGTATTCTATGAAGAAGAGAGGAAGGTATCACACAGAAAAGTGCCTCCAGCCTGCTGATGAAATTGCCTCAACAGACTGTGGAATTGAACTACCAGAAAAGGGAAGGGAAATATTTTATCTAAATCATTTGATTTAGAAATGAGTTTGAAAAGTCCTAAGTAGAACAAGTTTTGTTGAAGATGCTAAAACACTATATCTAAAACAGGATAGCATTATCTCAGAGTATTTTTTTACAATATCTAAGACTGTGCTATTTTAAGAAAATCAATAGCATTTTGTAGTGTGTACTTCCAAGCTAGGGCTAGTTCAGAAATACAGTGCTGTTGGTGTGCTGTTTCTAGCAGGAAGCTGGAATCCAAAGGTTAAGGAGGTAAGGTGTCTCTTGGGGGCAGTAAAGAGCTGATCAGAATCCTCTGGAATTAAGGGTAAAGTTTCCAGGTAAACCTCTTATCATTTAATCATTTCACTCCTGTGTTTCCCAGGGCAACATTTTTGAGTGACAAAGCTATGGTGGCAAATAGGATCCAGCCTGCAACAGAGAATCAAAATATACTGGAAAGTGAGTGGAATTTCAATGGGTAACCATATTCTTCTCTGCCATATCAAATTTCCTCTTGGCCTAACAAGACTATTTAGAGAAATAGAAATATATTGAGAAAGTCCACCTCTCGGAAACCCATAAGCATGTTGGAAGGTTTTTTGAGCCCTACATATTTCATTACACATAATACAGAAGGTGCCATTCCTGATCAAGTTCTGTCAACCTACACCACACTTTTTTTTAGGAAGTGAGCCCACGTTGGATTCTTTATACACATGCATAGAAAAAAGAATTACCACAACTGTACATCCCCTGAGTATAAGGCATTTGATCTAAACATAGGGATCTTATATTTTCAAGAACCAGTAACCAAGGTTTTCCAAACACTCATCACTAGGTAGCAGACTGCATCTTTATTACAGATGAAAGAACTAGGGACAATTTTGCACAGGGTTGCTTGCTCAGCTAAGGGAGTGGAGTCTTATGGCAGTGTCCCATTCATTAGCCAATTTTGTTTCCCAGAACCTAACAGACAATGAAGAACACTACAAAACTTCCTCTCTGGCAGGAATGCAATCTGCAATAGCCTGATTTTGTGTAAGCCCTTTTTCTTCCTAAGAAAGGTGCTCTAGTACATTGTCCTCTTGGACAGAAACGTAATTTTTTATGTGAATATGAGGTCATGCAAGAAGAAACTATAAAATAGTTAAGATATATCATCACCTGGGCTCAGATCTTGTGCTTTTCTTTGCATTTATTTAAAACTTGGATTTGAACTGTGGCTTAACCTCAAAAATTCAGGGGTCTGGACTCAGCACTAAGGAAAATGACTAAACAGTTATTATTGAGTCAAATGCAGCAGATATAAAAAAATCTTGCATGACCCTCTTTCATCTGCCATTAACAAAAAACTTTAATCCTCAATAACTTATCATTTTATTCCATCAATCGTATCTTGACCTCTCTCTCCAGTCTTCAGAATATCTTCTCTTTCCATGACACCACATGGTACCTCTAATAAGCTGAAAGTCCAAGCCTTTAAAACACTATTTTCACTGATTTGAAATCTGTGATGGTCCCTTTGCCACAAAATCATGGAAATGTGATGGTGTTGGAATGGTTGATGGAGCTCATGAAAAAAACAGTTATATTTCTGAGTAAACAGGACCCCAAATTTTGTGAGATTAATTCCTCATTGGCTTAATCAAGTAGCTGTTTAGCTGATCTTGAAGTTAAGTCTCAGCAAGTGTGAGAGTCTTTGTTTGATCTTGTTTTGATCACTCAGAACTTGTGAGAACAAGTGATGGGGATGGATCACCATTTTTATGGTTGCAGAATAAGTCATTGACCTAAAGTCTACTTTCTCTCTGTGCCATGTGCCGGAGTTCTCCTGCGTAACCTCATGATCAAGGAACAGAATGCACACATTTTTTTTTTTTTTTTGCAATAAAGTGTGCCTTTTTCTGGGGGCAGAGATTCGAGTATTTACTAAGAGAAAATCCTCCTTCCTCCCAGAACTCTAGTGCAGAGTTGCAAAATTCAAGCAAGGCTGGCAACCCAGAGCAGCATGGAGGAGCAAAAGCCAGCAGGGGCTCATGCAGAGCTAGGCTTTGTACATGAAACCTTAGGATTTTTCTGTTCTTCTGTGTCATGCTCCATGATTTTTCTCTTAGCATGCAAACACCAAGATGCATTTAAATGTCACAATTCAAGAGAAGTGCAACTATATATTTAAAAATGAAGAAAGAACATCAAGTAAACATTTTACTGGACAGTCAGCAGCCATTGGGTGTTGCTCACCTCCTGTGCAGATACCTGTCAAAACACCTGGCCTCATAGCACCAAGCACCTGGACAAAGCTGAGGCTCAAATAAAACAGAGCAGAATAATTCTCCTCTTGCCTCCTTATCTCTTTGTCAAGTACCACAGGGTTAAGAGAGGAAAAATGATCGGGTCCTTAGCAAATGACCAAGAATTAAAAACCAAACCAAAATGGAGCAATAAAAACAAAAATAAAACCCTGAGGTTAAGCTAGGGATTTCAGAGCCAGTCATTAGACTTCAACAGCAGAACTGAGGGAAAATTTAGAAAGTGAGGACACCCACCTTCTTAGGCCCTACAGAATTTGACAATACTATCCCAGAAACCTCTTCAGGGAAGAGTTCAAATACAAGAACAGGGAAAGTTAAACCAGATTTTCCCATAGGCATTCCTGTTGTGATCTTCTTGAGCTGAGGATGCAAAAGGTCAGGGCTTAAGCTGCTTTACAGAAAGTGAAGGCTGGAAGACCAATAGATGGGGGGACGTAGGTGCTGTTGGTAGCTCACCTAAGCTATCCCCCAATACAGGCAATGTGCAAAAAATCTGTCTGTGAAATCAAAGGACAGAAATGGGAAACTGCTGGAAGAAGAGTCCAGCAATCTTTATAAATGCCCACATCCATTCGGGATTCCAGGTTTATATTTTCTCTTTAAAAATCCAAAAACTGACACTTCCTTAGGGATCTCATCAATATAACAGGGCTGAGGGACATCAAAGTGAGTGCATCCTGAGGCCCAGTTTTATTTCTGGCTTCTTTCTTTCCAGCTTTCTGCTGGAGGGTCTACTCAAGGACTGAGAGTTCTTCATGACCCATTCCATCTTCTATCCCTGTGTGTGGTTCCACAGTGGTTCTTGGATCTGGATCACATCTACACATCCACATTGTTCTCAGCAGGTTTGGAGGAGCCAGGACACCTGCCGCAGAATCCAAGTTCACTCACAGACCTGAGATGCACAGTCCTGGTAAGGGGAGGAAGGCTGTGGCAGCGTCTGTTCTGGGCAAGGAAAGGTCAGTTATCTCCTGTGTGAGTGCTCTTGAGGTCAGAAGCACTGCAGATACTTACTCTATAAATAAATAATGAATGAATAAATGAATAAATAAATAAATAAATAAACAAACCAAAACACAAGAGGGCTCTTTAGAGATAAGCACCTCTTATCAGTTAAAAAAAAAAATCCCCTCTTGAGTTTCAAAGCCCTCATGCAGTAGTGATAAGTAGGCTCAGAACAACCTGCAGAAAGTAGAGCAATCCAGACAAGCACTGGAAAAGTCCCAACACTGGGTATTTCTCACTTGATGACACACAAGTCATCCTAAAGGTCCCCGAGGTAGTCTTGTTTTCCAGGAGTTTTAGAATGGCTCCAAACCCACTTGGAGCTTCCTCCTTTAATGCCATTGCACTCTCCCATGCATCCTGCGTCAGCCTCCATGGTGTCATGGACAAAGTGCCTTCTACTTGGCACTGTATGCCACTGTGCAGGTCTCAGTCATAAGCAGACAACAATGAAATGCAATTCCAAGGTCTGGCTTGAAGACCCCAATCCAAAGAGGACTTTGCCAAAATGATGCAGGTGTTCACTCGGCAGTTATTTTAGAAAACTACTAGAGAATTAAATCAAAGAAAGATGGCATGCAGCAAACATGCATGTCTATCTCTTGGTGGGCCCTGTACCGAAAAGATCTCCCATTGTTGTTCCTTCCCTTTTAAGAAGCCCCCCCCCCACCTAATAGAAAGGAATCAATGCTTTGAAACTAGAAAACATTTCTGATATCAAGGGCAGTATGCACTGTTTAACTGAAGAATTCAGGTGACCAGTTACCAACACAAGGTATGCATAAACAGCATGTAGATGAGACACCTTGGTGACAAACAGGTCTTATTCCCCCAGGGAAGTAGTAGAGACATTCGACAACCCTGGAGAGAACTGATGCTTGGCTTCCTGTCCTCCCAGAACAGAACCTCAAGTTGAAGTTAGAGCCAGCCACAGGGCAGTCCAAACCTGCAATGAGTCATCCTTTGGACCAGGAATACCTTTCTGGCTTAGCCTTCTCACTGGCTCAAACACAAGACCCTGGAAACCAATAGAGAACTGGATCAATTGAGGGATACTCCATATTCCAATGGACTGGAGACCCTATTTCCATATTCCATTCACTACCACAAGTCACTGGGGAGATTCTGACCTTAAGCACATGAAACATGCTTTCTTCCCTTGGACTTAAGCTTTTTAAAAGTCTCATTTGGGAAAAATGCAACTGAAGGCCCTGTAATGTTATCCCAATGGCCCTGTGAGGAAGGAAAAGAAAAAAAGAAGCCCTCCTCCTCTTACTCTCTTCACTACCACTGCCCAGGGGCCATCCCAACAGGAAATTCTTCAAAGAATTCTACCCTGGATCAACAACTTCAACCCTAGGTTAAATAAACAAATCAGCATTTAGCCAAAGCTCTGTCCTCCTGCAGAAGGTCATTCAACTCAATGACGGTTGTGGCAAAGTCCACCAGGTCCACGAAGTCAGACGTGATGATGTTGACACCCATGGCACCAGGCTTCTGAGTTTTCACCCAGTCCAGGATGGCAGGAAGATTCCTACATAGAGGAAAGTGTTGGGAGAAGAGAGGAAAGACCCGAGAGTTTAGAAGGACTTCTCTAGAAAAGGAAACACAACATTTCCATCAATATAACAAAAGTATGTTAATAAAGCACAAGCCCCCAGGGCTAAGTCCATTTAAGCTTATATCTCCAGCAAGGATGAAGCTGTCTCTAATCCATCAGAAAATTAAATTTTCCAGGGTTTCTTTGATAGAAGAGGAGATTATTTGTCCCAAGCATCAAAGGGATACCCATGTCAATAGGACCTTGAAACATTAAGCTCAAGAGTCTAATTATTGCTGGGTTCTTTGATTTTTTATTATAACAAAAATTTCAAACATATGCAACATTGAAAGAATTTTACAGTAAGTAAATATATCCACCACCCATAATTTACCACTAAAATTTTTCTATACTTGCCTGCCACCTATCTATTCATCAACCAACACTATCCTTCCATCAATCCAGCTGTTTTTCACATAATTGAATGCAAACATTTATACACATCCCCTAAATGTTTCAGCAAAAATATGATTAAATAGGAGTCTCCATGTGTTTCTAGTTTTCTTAAAAAAAGATTACATCCAATAAAATGTGCACATCTTAAGTGTGCACTTGCTGAGTTTTGACAACCATATATAAATGACCCAAACTCATAACTCTATAGAGCATTACCAACACTCCAGAAAGTTCTCACATGCCCTTTCCCAGTCAATTCCTGCTTCATTCCCTCAGAGGCAACAACTTGTATTGATTTTTTTCCATGATAGATGATATTTACCTATTCTAAACTTCATGTTAACCATACAATGTGTATTCTTTTGTATGAGCTTCTTTTATTCAGCATAATGGTATTCAAACTCATCCATGGCATTGCATGGATCTCTATTTTTTTTTATTTTGTGGGTTTTTTTTTTTTTCACCAGGGATTGAACTCAGGGCACTCAACCACTGAGCCACATCCACATCCCAAGCCCTATTCTGTATTTTATTCAGAGACAGGGTCTCACTAAGTTGCTTAGCACCTCACTGTTGCTGAGGCTGACTTTGAACCCACGATCCTCCTGCCTCAGCCTCCTGAGCTGCTGGGATTACAGGCATGCGCCACCATGCGTGGAGGGATCTGTATTTTTTATTTCTTAAATACTGCATACTATTTCACATAATGAACATAACACAGTTTGTCCATTTTTCTATTGATGAATACACGAGCTGTTTCCAATTTTTAGTTGTTATGAATAAAACTGTTATGGGAATTCTTCTATAAGGCTTTTTATGGACATTTGTTTTCATTTCTCTCAGTTAAATACCAAGGCATGGGATTACTGTATTATAAGGCTTGTTTACATTTAGCATTATGAGAAACTATAAGACTTGTTCCTAAGAGATTGTGCATGTGGATGCTGCCTCATATCCTTCCTCAAATTTGGTGCTATCTTTTAATTTTAGTCATTCTAGTGAATATGTAGTGACATCTCACAGTGTTATAATTTGCATCTTTCTGATGAATAATGGTATTGAGCAGTTTGTCATGTGCTTATTGACCATTCATGAAGTAGCTATTCGATTCTTTTACTAACATTTTTCACTTTTTGAACATGTTCAGCTACTGAAATTACTTATATGTCCTAGGTTCTAGTCTGTTAGATTTTTTTTTTATTATCAACAAAATATCTTAAAATGCTTTCAACCAATCTCTATTATATTTCATTCTTTTTTTTTTTTGCTTTTTAAAAAAATTTATATATGACAGCAGAATGCATTATAATTCTTATTACACATATAGAGCACAACTTTTCATATCTCTAGTTGTATACACAGTATATTCACACCAATTCGTGTCTTCATACATGTACTTTGGATAATAATGTAAATCACATTCCACCATCATTTATAACCCCATGCCCCACCGCCTTCTCCTCCAACCCCTCTGCCCTATCTAGAGTTTGTCTATTCCTCCCATGCTCCCTCTCCCTATCCCACTATGAATCAGCCTCCTTGTATCAAAGAAAACATTTGGCATTTGTTTTGGGGGGATTGGCTAATTTCACTTAGCATTATCTTCTCTAACTCCATCCATTTGCCTGCACATGCCATGACTTTATTCTCTTTTATTGTTGAGTAATATTCCATTGCCACTTTTTTTTTTTATCCATTCATCTATTGAAGGGCATCTAGGTTGGTTCCACAGTTTAGCTATTGTGAATTGTGCTGCTATAAATAGGAGTCTCCATGTGTTTCCAGTTTTCAGAGGAAAGTGCTGTGAGAAGAGAGGATGTGACTGTGTCTCTGTAGTATGCTGTTTTTAAGCCTTTTGGGTATAGACTGAGGAGAGGGATAGCTGGGTCAAATGGTGATTCCATTCCCAATTTTCCAAGAAATCTCCATGCTTTCCATATTGGCTGCACCAGTTTTCAGTCTTACCAGCAACGTATGAGTGTACCTTTTTCCCTACATCCTCACCAACATAATAAAAAATGTTGATAATAAAAAAATGTTGCTTGTCTTCATAATAACTGCCATTCTGACTGGAGTGAGATGAAATCTTAGAGTAGTTTTTATTTGCATTTCTCTAATTGCTAGAGATGATAAACATTATTTCATATATTTGTTTATTTTCTCCCATCCTGTAGCTTGCTTTTGTCTCAATGACACATTCGGATGAGTGGAATTCCTTAATTTTGATAGAATCAAACTTACCAATTTGTTCTTTTATAATTTCTGAGATCTAAGAAATCTTCACTTACTCCTCATTCAAAAAGATATCCTATGTTTTCTTCTAAAAGCTTTATGAGTTCAGGTCTAAGGTCCATCTCAGGTTAATTTTTGTGTATAGCATAAAGTAGGAGTCAAAGTTCACTTTTTCCACACAGATAGACAGTTATCCTGTCACTACATGTGGCTTCCTGATAGACTGATATCTAATCAGTTGCCTCATGAACAGTCTGCTGGTGCCATTTTCGAGACCGAAGGCTTCCTATATTACACCCTGAAGTTTTGCCCAGAGCTCAATTTAGTGACATTTAAAACAAAATTCAGTGTGATGGTTTCTACATTAGTAGTAAATGTGAACTACCATGGGCACTATAGAGGAGAAAGCCGTAGAGTGCACTCGTAATTTTTCATCATGATAAAAACAGCTCCACTAAATCCTCAATGGGTTGAAAATGACTAGAGGGAGATAGAAACTGGTGTGTACCTTTGGTGAAGGGACCAGAAATTTTTTAGGAAGATTTGCTTTAGGTCAAAAATTGAGAATAAGTGAAGTATTATATTAACTCATCTCTTTCTCTTCTTTTGGTCACACTCTTTGGTTGTCAATTTTTCCCTTCCATTTCTTTCAGAATACATCTAAAGCCACCCTCCCTCCTTTAGGAATACATCTAACTTCTCAGTCTTCTAGAAAGACAATGTTATTACAGCCTTGGTAGATTTTTTTTCCCCTTCCCCTCTTGCTTTTCCTCTTACCATAATGCCTATAATCAGTCCTGGATCTCTTCTCTTAATCAGTGGTCTACTATCAACTCAAATCAATTTACATTTTATATTTTGTAGCAGATTATGACTTAATAGACTACCCTCCCAAGAATGCTCCCAGTTTTAGCTGGGATTCTTGAGAACTTCATAATCTCAATATGACCTTAACTTGTTGAATTTTGCTGTCCTTCAGCCTCTTCCTTGTAAAGCAGTGGTAATAATGCTCTCAGACAGATGTGGGGATAGAGATTAAGTAAAATAATACATATAAAGTGTTTAGTGCAGTACCTGGGATACATTAAGTAGCATGTAAGCAACTGGCAAAAGAAAAAGAATCATGAATAAGAGTATAAGGTAGAGATATTTGGGAGCTGGAAATTAAAAAAAAGCCTTCAAAAAGTCATCTTTTGTTGTTTAGGCAACAAAATGTTATGATCTGAGCGTTAGGGGCTGCAAATACTGACCTCTTTTGGAGACAGAGTTCACAAATATCTAGTGGCCCACGTGAAAAACCTGCTAGTACTCATGGTAAGAGGCATTCAGACTTCTTTTCAAAACAAAAGAACAAAACAAAACAAAACAAAAACCCCTAGTCTGTTAAAGTATGAGGTGCAAGTGCCATCTGCTGGCTGTCTTGGGAATGAACAGAATTGAAGGCCTGGATGCAACCCCAGCCAATAGCAGCCAGAGCCAAACCTTGAGGGATCCCTGTTAGTCTGAGCAGAGAAATGTGGGGAGGGTGTGAATCTGGTCTCCAGGAAAAAAGAGCTCTGCGTCCATTGCGGGTCAGTCTTCCCTAAGGCACCGATAAAATAATTGGGATTATGTGTAGAGAAAAGGACATGTAGAATCCACTGGAAAGAGGAGCCACTTTATTTTCTTAACTCCTGGCACTTCCCAGGATGAGAGGGCCATGAACAAGGCTGACAGATATTGCTGACAGCCCCTCAGGCTACAATCCCCTCAAGGTGCAAAACAGTAAGCTTAAAACTTGCCCTTGGCTTTGGGGCTCACTCTAGGACAAGGCTGGTTCACACTGCCTTCCTGGGTTTCTTTACAACCAGGGATGGCATACCTATTCTATGCCAGGCACTGTGGTAGGCATTTCCAGGTTAGGATAATAATCTTGTGGGGTTCTATTAATCCCTTTTAAATGGTGAGATAAACCACAGCCCAGAGAACTTGTACAAGGCCACACTATTATTGCCAAGGGACGGCATGAGTTTGCTAAGGTTTCCCTAATAAAATCTATGCTAGGTGGCTTCAACAACTAGAGCATATTTTCTTTTATTCCAGAAGTTGGAAGTCCAAGATCAAGGAGCCAGCAGGTCTGGTCTCTTCTGAGGCCTCTCTGCTTGGTTTGTAGATGACCACCTTTTCACATTTCCTATGCCTGAACACATCCCTGGTGTCTACATTTTCTCTTCCTTTAATGACAACAGTGAGATTGGATTAGGGCCTGTCCTAATTATCTCTATAAAAGGCCCTTCTCCCAATATAGTCACATTCTAAGGAAGCATGGTGACAGCTTCAATATATAAATTTGGGGGTTAAGGGCATAATTCAGCCCACAGCAGGGACCAATGTAGGCTCCAGTCTCAGGCCCTCTGATTTCAGTCCATGTCACCTTCTTGAGTTCCATGGCTGCTCTATCTTCAAGCTTAGGCAAAACTCATTTTTTTTTCTGATTTCAGGGGGAGTGCTAGGAATCTGAATTTTAGATTTCTATGAGTCTGGTGGAAAGTACCATAAAAATTCAGTTTTTGTGGATTCCTTCTAGGGTGATGAACCAAGGTGTATAAGATCTCATGTCCAAAGCTTGCTGAAGGCTTTATTGGGGTCCCATGGGTGGGGGTTATCTCCCTGCCAAGAAAACCACCTCTGCATGTGTAGAATAATGCAGCTTGTCTTCTTCCCCCTGGTTTGAGATGATAACCCGTGCTTAGGGTCAGCTGAAGCACCCCTATTCTTTTATACCTTAGGATAGACACTCTGAGTGCTGATGCTCAGGGGAGGGACAGATGTTTGCTCAGTAATTTAGAGGAGATGACAACCACATGCTGTGCTGGCATCTGGGAACACATTCCTGACCAGACCTGCATTTCTTCCTTTGGTTGATGAGCAGGCATAGGAATGCATGATCACACCCATGATATTCTTGTGATGAACAGGGATTAAGATGCCAAAGTATCTTTCCAAGATCAGGGATCTCAGCCTGCTACCAGTTGGACAAGAGCTCTGGCACACTGAAAGATCTTGGCCTTGGGCACATGCCACTATCATTACCACCAAACAAGGAGCTTGGGATTCATTTGCAGGCATACTAAAGTGCTAAGAATTAACAAATATAAAAATCATGGTGAAATTGAGGGTTAACGGTTGTAAACAAGGAGATCTGACCAGATTCAGGTACTAAGAAGACAAAAAGCCTGTGGATCAGAAAAGAACAGGGCAATAAAATGTGCTATATCCATGGCAGTGTGGCACACTGGAGAGGGTGGTGGTGCAATGACCAGAGTACAAGATGTGTGGGTCACCTAGAGCCACTGGATTCCACCTTAAGTGGGGATGATGAAGTGCTTTAGAGAATGTGTCCTCTGGAGCCTGGCTTGGGTTTAAAAACCAAATGAAGTCACATGCAAAAAAGGCATTTCATACTCAGGAAACAGTAAAAAGATCTAACTTACGCTGATTTTTAAATAGTCCTTCCTCTCTTACTAGTACAGCTTTCTGTACAGATTTTTATTATACTGATTTTTCACATTTCTAAGTAGAAATGTTCATACTAGTGTTTTCTGTGAGACTGAGAATTAATTCCACAAGGCAGAGACTGTTATTCATCTTGTACATTCACACCTACTTCCTCTTAGGTACTCAGTTTGTTGTATGAATAAGTAAATAATGTTAATCTACAAGTTTACTAAAGATATGAGGAAAATGGTGCAAGTTCATGATATATGTTATTTTTTAAAATTTATAATTCTGAATCCTCCAAAGAGATATCACACTGGATTGTTTGGTTCGAGCCAAGTACATAAATTCTAAGTTAAGAGTTATAGTCACACCGAAAGGGGTTTCTGGTTCTGTCCATAGTCTACAAAATCAGGAGCTTTCACCAAGAAAGAAAACTGCAGGTACTTCTTACTCTCTAAATTCCTGATTTACTGTTATCTGAACTCATGCTCTCCAAGCTCAGAAACAAACAAATAGGGACAAGTGTTGAATGAATATTTCTCTATTTGAAATCTGAACTCACCATACGGAACTCAGGAACCAAACTGATTCTTGTGAATATCTTTTGTTACCCAAACATATTAGCTGGAATTGTGAGGGATACCCTATTGTTCAAATGTATTATTTATATATATATATATTATAAATAATATTATTATATTATTATAAATAATATTATTATAAATATAAATGTATTTTATATATATTATATAATATATATAAAATACATTTATATGTAAGGGAGGGAGAAGAACAAATTCTTGATGGGCCACACCTGAATTCCTAGCACTCAGCAGAGTGGTTTGTGATTCATACCACTTAAATGAGTGAGTACCTGGGCTAACAGGGCAGGGGCAGGGACATGATGAGGCCAGATGTCAGAAGAGATCAGACAGTGGCGTTGACTCAAAGTGGGTTGCTTTAGTATCAAAATGTAGAGAGTATTTGTGGAATAATGTGTACATTTTAATGAAATGTTTAGGGTTCTTTTGGGCACTATTAATGCAATCCCCTTCAAATTCACACCTTATTTCCAACACTTGGTGTTTTAAAAATTTTTTTTTAATCTCTGAAGTTTTACTTCCATGTATTCAGAAGAGAATCAAGGTAAATATTCTTTAAAAACCTAACACATGGGGTAGAAGCAAACTCTTACCTATGAACCAGGGTGTTCTTGAGGCCCCCCACAAGGCCTCGGGCGATGGTCTTCACTCTAGGGGTAAGAATTGCCTGGGAGACATGGAAGGAGCCCTGGGGGGCACGCTCACTCAGGGTGGTCTCCAAGAAGAGGATTAGTTTTCTCACACTTGTGGTATTTGCCCAAGGTGCTGGAATCTTCTTTCCTGGCCACAAGAAGGAGTACTGCTTGTAGAAGGGACAGTGGTAGAAGATAAGAACCTGAAATGTTCAAAACCAAGAGAGGCAACTCATGAAAAAGCCGAATGCTAACTAACCCCTGGGATTTACTGGGAGGAAAGACAAATATATGTGGGAATGAAAAAATTGTTATGTACATACTTTAAAAAATCAATGAGCAAAGATTTACTGAGCACTTCTATATGACTGACTCAAAGATTCTTTTATTTTTTGTCATGAACAACTTTGGAAGTCTGGTAAAAATCACTGCCACCTTCTCAGAATTATAAATGAATATAAAACAAAATAAACAAGATCACAAAGGAAAATAAAATAGACAAGATGACAAAGGAAACCAATGATAAGAAAATAGACCTATGAATACATTAAATACATTTGTAATAAATAAATGCATACCCCTCCTGATAAATTCATTGAATAAAATATTTTATTGTGAGTCTAGTAAGTCTCACAATTTGAGTTAGTGATGAGCACAAGTGAGGTTTTAAGATAGCTGTAATAACTGAAATGTGAGATGGACTTCTATGGGGATAAAATAATAAAGCCAACACCATTGTGGGCCACTGCCTGTACTTATAAATGAATTTTCAGTTAAAGTTTAGTAAAAACAAATGTGTAATATTTTACCATCCAAATTCAGTCTTGTTAAATTATATCCACCCACATCCCCTTGGGAAATCTATGGACTTCAAGCTTGAAAACTCTCAGGTTGGGTTAGCTCATGTGGTCTAGAAGTTATGTTTCCTGTGTTCATGAAATTGACACCGAGCTCTTGGAGTTTCGATAAACACATTGAACTGATTTGTGAGTCTGTAGATTTTTAACTGTGTGCCCTGACTCTGAATGAAATCATGCCTCCCAGTGGAGGAAGGGAATGTGCCACTCGAGACAGGGATGACTTCCCAGAGGCAATGGGCCTCCAGTGGGACCGCTCACGATGGTGGTAATTTTGAAAATAATTAGCCAGCTACATCCACAGCATTAATTAGTTTCTGGGAGGCAGCTGTGGGACAGGGAATTGCTATTTCAATTGTCCCAATTCGGATCTCTGTGTAGGTTTCTAGAAGTAATATATTTCTTCCCATTTTGAGCTCCCATGATCTGCTAAAGGAAAGTTCTGGGCATGCAGGGTCCCTGGACTGCAGTCCTCAGATAGCTGGCCTGGAGCCCAATCCTCCAGGCACCCAAGAACAAGGGCTTTGCAGTCCATCATGTTTCCAGTGTACATTCAGCTGGTGACTAAGGTGTTGACTGACTGTCCCAGAGGCCCAGAGCCAGCGAGTGCCAGGCTGCATGCACTAAGCAGGGTCATGGCTTGCTGTTTTTAATGGTTTTGAATAATGCTGACTGGCTGTAAATGATGTCTGTGGTAAACACGCATTAATGAGGTTAATCACAGGCTCACGGTAAGCAGATTGCCTGAGAGATCGTGGAGGATTTCCTCCTGGCAGTGGTATAATTGGCAAGTTTGGAAGGCTGGGGACTCCCAGAAGAGCTGCCCTGGGCAGTGGACTGTAGGAGGGGGAGGAAGCTGTGCAGGCTTGTGTCAGGCCTGCCACAGGGTCTCCCCTTGACACCTGGCCCCTGAGCTAAGCATCCCAAAAGGACAGTGCTATCCTTTGTTCTGCCTTGAAAAGGTACAAACAGTACAAATTTTGCAAGGGGGCTTCATGCTTTTCCTCAAGTGCCCTGTTGAACAATCTGACCCTGAAGGTTTCAGGGGAATTTCTGCCCACAGTGGAGGCCAGCCTAGCAAATCAACTCTCATTCTACAAGATTTCAGGGGTGGAGTCTCTCGCCTGTACTTTGCATCCTCTTCCCCACCTCATTCTGCTGCAGTTTTCTCTGAAACACTTTACCCTACAGCTCAGCAGCTCATGTTCGGTTTTCCTCTTGAGACAGTTTTAAAAACCTCATTTCCTTTAAGAACTATTCCTTGATTGACCGCCTCTTACTCTGAGCATTTCTTTACTGGGGGCCTTGGGAGGCAGATTTATGCTATGTTCTACTTTTCATCTGATTTATTTTTAAAAAATCCCTTCCTATGCTACAGAGCATTCAAGGTAGTCTTATCTTGTGTTTGCATATTAATTGTTTTGTATTTACTAGAGTTGCCTATTCCTACCTTCTCCATGAGATCATAAATACTTTGGAGATGTACATTCAATCTTCTGATTCATTGTACCCTCCGACCCCATATGCATGCCTGTGAGCTGCGACATACCTGCATGTTGAATGTATGAAATTTGACTAGATCGTAGTACACTTTTTGATATTAAATTGCATAATAAAATACTCAGGGTTAAACACAAGGTAGGTCATTACATAATGAATATTTAGAGTCTGACCATATTTAAAGTGGGAGCCCAACCCAGCACAGGGAAAAGACTGGTAATCCTCCTTGAGACTTATTGTTTTAACTTTTAAAGACTCGGCACCGGTCACATGGGGAAGGAAGGAGCATAGGGGGATCCTGGGATTTAGACTGGTGACACTCTCCCCCTTTCTGATATGTCATCATAGACTCTGCATAACTTTAGGGGTATTTGAGGTTGGATGACACAGTTAATTTATCCCATTCTTAAAAACCACGATGGACTTTCCTTCTGCTGCTAGAAATTCACTGTTCACACTATTTGTTATTCCTGAAGATACTTCTAACTCCTGCAGGTTTGTAGTCAATTTAGTTTGCAATACATCAGCCATTCAGAATATGAGCAGGGTACAAAATCATGAACTTTTATTTGAACTCAAATTAACCTTACCTGAAACCCCATATCAAAACCTTTCCTTTTTTCTATTCTACTCTGGGACCCTCTGAAATTAGGGGCTTATTGATAAAGAAAAAGCATTTTATTAGCAAAACAGATGAGAGCAGTTGTGAAATGATCAGGGAGCATGAACAGCCCTCAGAGAGCAGCAGAAGCCATGGGAAATCTGGAGCAGAAAGAACCTGTGATGGAATCCTGGCTCTTCACTCACCCACAATGTTTCCTCCAGCAAGTTGCTCAATATCCCTATGCCTCAGTTTCCTCATCTGTAAAATAGAATACTAATAAAATACCTATCTCATAGTGTTGTTAGGAGGATCATGTGAGTTAATCCATCTGCCTAGCACATAATAAAGGCTTAGGTGTTACTGCTATTATTACTATTATCTAGTGATGTGAAAGAGAAACTCTCCGGGGATCAAAATCTCTCCAGGTTGGTTGGATCTGTGACTTTCAATATATATAAACTTGGGTTTGGGGGAGAGATGTGATAAATATTTGGCAAAATATCACAAAAGTTTTAGTGAGGAAAAATGACTTAGACATATTTTAACAAATACTAAGATTTACCTCAATCAGCCTCTGTGGAGTCAAAACATTTAGCACTTGCCGTCAAGTCTTCTCATTGGTTTCCCCACTTCTGCCCTCTCCCCCCTGCCCCAGATGTTGTCCTAGCACAAGAATCGTAGGGATCCCATTAAGACCTGCATCAGGGCAAAGCTGTGCTCAGAACTCTCCCCTGTGGGACCACCGACTATCTCTCTGACCTCTTCCTGCTCTTCATTACCTGCTTATTAGCTTCTGTCCCTGTTTTTCCTCAAAGATATCAGGGACACTCCTGCTTCGAGGCCTCTGTGCTGGCTGCTTCCTCTGCCTCCAAAGACCCTCATGTTTTACTCCTTTGAATGCAACCTTTTCCATAAATCTTCACATAGATTGCCCTGCTCATCCTATGCAAAACTCAACCAACCCACCACACAGTCCTGGATCCCGGATACCATGCTGAGCTTCTCCTTTTCCACAGTTCTAATACCATGCTGAGCTTCTCCTTTTCCACAGTTCTTACCACTTTTCACCAACACATATTTATTACCTTTATTCTACGACCTATCTCTACCCACTTGAATGAAAGCTCCACTAGGGCAAGGATCACTGTCTGCTTACTCACTGATAAGAATGGTACCTGGTACATACTGGTATTCAATAAATATTTACAAATACAGGGGCTGGGGATGTGGCTCAAGTGGTAGCGTGCTTGCCTGGCATGCACGGGGCGCTGGGTTTGATCCTCAGCACCACATAAAACTAAAATAAAGATGTTGTGTCCACCGAAAACTAAAAAATAAAAATATTAAAAATTCTCTCTCTCTCTCAAAAAAATTTACAAATACATAATCTTTAACTTATTTTTAACTAAGTCTCTCCCTGAATTCAAAAACATCTGCCTCTCTTAAGGATGTTTTGCTTTTTGCATCTATTAGGCAAATAAGCAACTTTGCTTTAAGGTACTTGCTTTTTTTTTTTTTAAGAGACTATATTATTGGTTGCTTGATGTGACTTAGATATGAGGTGCTCCCCCCAAAATTCATGTGTGAGACTATTTGAGACCATTCCATTTTAAGGTGGAATGGTTGTATGGTGAGAGTTATAACCTAACCAATGGATAAAAACATTGATAGGGATTACCTGGGTGGTAACTGTAGACAGGTAGGGTGTGGGCTGAAGGCAGGTTTCTGGGGATGTACCTTTGGAGTTTTTGTCCCTAGTGAATGGAGCTCTCTCTGCTTCCCATTGCCATATTCTAAGCTGCTTTTCCCCTATCACTCCTTTTTCCCATGATGCTCTGTTTCATCTTGGCCCCAGAGGTATAGAGTGCACCGGAATCTCTGAAACTGGGAGCCCCAAATAAACTTTTCCTTCTCTTTAACTATCAGGCCTTGGTCACAGTGATGAAAAAGCTCATTAAAACATTGTTCTTTCCCTGAAGCTCTTCCCTGCTGCTACCATCCATGAAACCAGAGTGGAATGTATCTGAGTCCCACTTCCTTTGCCTGATCGTGTCCCTCATGGTCTAGGTTTGGAGGCTCTTCTGGAAACACACTCTCAGCAGGTGTGTTCAACAGGTCTTCCTTTCTTAACTCTGTCTGTGACCCAAATTCTATGAGGAGGGCCTGTAAAATAGTCATATTCCTGTGATGAATGACTTCATACACCTTTGTCAGCTAATACTGTTCCTTTTCACTCAATACCTTGGCAAGGGTGATCTGCGGAGACCTGAGAGTGTGGGTTTAAAGCAGACCTCTGGGAAGATAGAATGGTAAGGACCTAGTGGCCCATTTCACAATTTTGCCTCGGGCTAGTTCTGAGCAGGCCTTTCTGTCAATTTACATGCCAAGCAGATTGCCAAACTTTAAATATTTGGCAGGGGTTAACCCAGTGAAATAGAGCTCAGGGAAGCTTTGCAATTATCCTAGAGCTCAGGAATCAGTGTACCAAACAATCCCACACTTTCCAGCCTTTGAGCCCAGGGTTGAGCTGTTTTACAGATGAATACACAGGAAAAGCAGAAAGAGCTGCCTTCGTGCCCTTGACCGCTCGTCCCTCCTGTCCTTCCTTCCCTCCTACCTGGCGCTTCTTCTCCCACAGGGTTTGCAGCGTCATGCTTTCCACACTGCAGGCTGGACACAACTTGTTTTCAAAGGCCTCCTGGATCCGGAGAACCAGGCATTTGTGATGCGCCTCATCCATGGCATAGAAGTGGTTAAAATCGAGGAAGACAATCTCTTGGGGGTGTTGTGTAAGGAAGGAGTCAATCTCCATCAGCCCATCCCAGACCTTGATGCCAAAAAGCCCATGGATGAAGTAGATCTCCTGGTCAGTGTCCCCTGGCTTGGAAGACACACGCAGGTCAAAGTAGCGGATCCCAGCTTCCAGCTGTTCCCGGAAGGTCAGGTTCTGAGTCACAGACCACTTCTTCATGAGCTTCTTCACCAAGGAGATCCTGGCGAGGCGTTTGATAGCCTGAGTTTGGTCAGGCCCCACAGGGGACTTTTCATCCACCCAGTAGCTGAATGAATCATGGGAACCTGGACAAGGCAATAAAAGGGAAGAAGACATGAGGTGGGAGCTGGGAGCATGGAGCCGACCGATAAGAAAACGACCGCAACAAAAATGAAGAACGCAATGTATGAAAACATTGTAAATGGATACTTGCAAGATTCTCCAAGCTTGCTGAGGATGAAATAAACGCAAATAAAAGCAATGCAGTCTTATTAGCAGCTTGTTAAGTCCAGGGTAACACTATAATTCTCACATATTGCTAGTGTGAGGTAAATTAATAAATACTCTACTGGAAAGCCATTTAGAAATATGTTGAGAAACAGTAGCTTTAAAATATTCATTTCCCTAATCCAGTAATTTCATTTCAGGAAAGCTGTGTGGAGGGAAGAAACTCAAATATTAGGAAATACAAAGATGGTTGCTAAAGAATATCCAAACACAGAAACTGGAGGTTGCTTAAGTGCCCCTCAGAGAAAAATGCTTCATGGTGGCACATACACTTTATTTACACTGTCACTGAAACCAACGGCAGGAAAACACTGTCTCTAAATAACGCTGGGACAGGCATTTTAATTTTAGGAAATGTAGAATTTAAAGAATTGGTCCCCTTTTTGTGCTTTTAGAATATAAAAAATAAATAAATTTTAATTTTATGTATATGTGCCATTTTACTATTGTAAAAATCTGAGTCAGTAGGGATGATTTCTTGACAGATCAAATAATCTGATGCACTGAACACAAATTAGTGATCTTGTACTCTTTTTTAAAAACTGATATCTTGATAGTTGAAATTGCTATTCAATGGTTCCACTACATATTATATTCCTCTGCCTTAAGAACAAGAGGGTAGGAATCCTCTTGAACACTGAAATTATTTTGGTATAAAGTATAAGTGACTGTGATCTGTGTACTTTTGACTATGGTGAGAAATTATTTTACTAGTAAATATTTTAGGTGAAATTTTCTTTAACAATTATTTTTAATTTGTCATTCCTTTTTATCCATTGTCAGTCTTGATGCTGTTTATTATCTATTAACTCATGTGGCAGGCTAATTTGTTTAGGGCTGTTCCTGGCTTTGAGGCTGGGGACAACACAGAAGTAGCTGTGTGCAAATCTAGGAGGAAAACGTCCTCGTTCTGACATTACTAACCATGTCCCTACCAAAACCACTCACATGAGAACCAAAATTCTTGTTCATTGTCATATGCTTTCCATTTTACTAAATTTTAGAGTAGGAACTTCATATATAATATGAATTTTTTAAATAAAATTCCACTGTTTTATATTATTTGCATTCTCTTGAATAGAAATCATTTCACATTGGCTTTACTATTTTATCATCTCAGAGATAAAGTGAACAAAAGAAAATCAGGTGACAGAAGATGCTCTATTTTTATGCAGCATCTAGAACATGGAGGGGATTCAATAAGTATTAAGAAAAATCATATTTATTAATCCTTAAGCAAATTGAATTTTGCAAGTGAGAAAATTACCAGCATATTTCAGATAAAAAAATTACCATTACTGATAGAAATGTGGAGCAAGTCCCTTTGGATCTTCCGCATTGGTTATCACTGTTAATAAGACTCACTGGATACTTGCCTAATGCTCTGCTTCCTTTGGCTATACAGAAACAAGAAATTTTTATATCTCCTCATTGAGAGATTTATTACAAACACCTTATATATGGGTGGTGAACAGCCAGTTCTCTTCTTTCTAAATTGTATTAAAAGCCCAGCTGTTCAGGATGCAGTGTGTAATACAGCACAAGGCACATATTGAACTTAATTCTTCCCTGGGCATCTGGGAATAGCCATTATCCAAGCACGGAGGAGAGACACATCCCCGCTGGGGTTCGTTTGTTGATGCTGAGCCCAGTTTCAACTCCAGAGGGAGATGTGCTAACAACCTCCAACACTCTTCTCCATGTCTGAGGACTGTGCAGAAATGTGACAACGAAGGGACCCTAGGGGCCGTTTCTGAACATGCAGGGTACCCAGCTCATCCCACAGAAGAGAGAACAGGCACAGTCCCCTTGAACACTGAGTCTCTCTTAACTCTGTTCCTTTATCATTTCTCTGGTTCATCTCATACTTTCTGACATCCTGTGCTTGGTACCTACTCCCCACCCTGATAGGATAAGATGATGGACAGGTTGTTTGCTGAATGTTTTATAGTGGCTGCCCTACCTAGGCTGACAGCAGTCAAAAGCAACCATCACTCAATAGCTACCATCAATATTTTTGTCTTTCTATTTATTTTTTTTTTCTAGACAGCTTTTGCCTATTACAGAGTGAGTTACATAACATTCCAGCAATGTCATGCACTTAACTACTTTGTGAAAAAACAGGCTCAAAATGACCTCCGTGTTGTGCAGACAGTATTTACAATGTAAAGCAATCTGCAAACAGTACTTATAAAAATCCTTACATTTTACAGTGTAAATTCATTACATTCCAAATTCATTATCAAAATTTCTTCCCTTCTTCTCTTTCCAAGGAAGTTATTTTACTCTTTAAAAACAGTCTACAACAAGAGCGATTCCCCCACTTGCTCTGGGATACATGAATCAAATTCATGTACTCCCCAGAAAAGGAGAAATATGACTCTGCTCATTAGTCCTTGACTTCTTCTTTAAGAGAATGGCTGCATGGGCATTGCTACGGACAGCAGTTCCATGCATTCTGGTTTGTTTAATGACAAGGCCAGAAAACAGTTTAGGGGATCATCCTCTGTGAATTTCTGCTGATGAAAGCTTTTCCACTGCTACTACCCAGCACACTGACTGTCATCTTTACTCGACCCTCTATGTCTGCTTATCTCTGTCTAAAATAGACTTAAATGGTGCTCTTTTAATTAACACAAAGCACTTTCCCTCTTCTGGCTTGCCCTCAACACTGCTGTCTTCCCTTTCCCTCTTGTGGTCAAAAATCTTATTAACCCTGCCAACCAGGCTTGCTGCCTTTTCCTGCTCTGACCTATTATTCACTCCTCACCATCTAAGTCTTCCTTCCACCCTTTTATTGTTGATCCTGACAACTTCTAATCAACCAAATAGTTTTATTCTTCTTGGCTTCTTTGAGGTCTTGCCAACCTAGCTCTTTTCTGGAGCCTTCCATTGCCTTGAACTCAGTGATAGGGCTGAATATTTCTGGGCTTCTTATTCTTCCTTCATCTCTGTCCTATATCTTTTGCTTGCTCCTCTTCCTCTCTCTTATTTCCAAATTTAAATGTTTTCCAAGGATATGTTCTCTATTTTCTCCCTTTTCCCACTTCAGAGATTACACACCTCCCAGTTGACCACAGCACCTGTAAGTAGGTGACACCAGAAGCTTCCTTTCTAGCTCAGACTCCTGTAAGTGTGGTCCTCCACCTGGCAGCTTGCACACAAGACAAATTACATATTTCTTAAGTCAGCAATTCACACTGTTCTTGTCACCCCTGCAAAGTGCCTTTCCTGAATTTTGGCCAATAAATCACCCAGTCACACTTGAGGTCTTGGATTCTATTTGAATTCTTCTCACACCCCAGCTCTCTTCTTCCAACTAGTTATCGAAATTTTACACTTGACCTTTGCAACAAATATCAAACGTGTCTCTTCCCGCAACCTTTGACTGCTGCTCCTCATTAATAGACTCATTCCCTGTCGAATAATCAGGACTAAAAGGACCCTAATCCTTTTACTCCAGCAGCTCTCTTAATTTGTTCATATCAAAAGGTAGTGATTTTAAGGCACAGCTATGATTATGACACTTTCTTCCTGTCTCCCAAATCAGGTTCAAAAATCTGAAACTGGGAGTTAGGACTTTCTCCAATATGGCTCCAGTGCCTCATGGCCTCATCCTTCCCCAGACCTCGCTATGTAGCCTGGCATCCTTGGAGTGCAGTATACCTAGAAAGACAGATCTCTTTCTGGACTCTGTTTACTCTCATTTGCTGCCACCCTTTGTAAAATATTCTCTCATCCCAAATCTGTCCATATCTCCTCCCCAGAATTTACAGCCCATATTAAATTGCTTACTCCATATCTCTTTTCTGATCTGTAAAATGGGCACAACAGTACCTGTTGTCATAGAATTGTGAATATTCTAATACATGCCAAGTTCTTAGGTACACACTGACACGCAGGAAGTGCTGGACTATCATGATGTGCATTATCAACCAGTCTTTATTTGTTAGAAACTAGAGGGCAAAGGACTTATAAACTGAAGCTCCTTATCCTCAATACTGAAGTTCTGGAAGGTGGTCTTTTTTTCTGTGCTTGACTCATTGTTCCTCACCGTCTTATTGGTTGATATGCAGAGGACAGATTAGCCTGCATTTTACTGAACACAGCTAACATTCTCTAGTCACAGACTAAGCTCTAGTCACCACCCACTTCTAAAATCTTATCATTCGATTTTTCTACTTTCTGATCACAATTACTTTTCCTCTGCCTCATTGCAACTGCAATTTTACATTTCCCACCAATCCCAGAGCCCAGTACTGGATTTTCTTCATCCTTCAGCTTTTTCTGAGGCCATTCAGTTGCCATTGTCACCTGCAGGGTTAGTAATTATAACTATCTGAAAGCCGTTAGGATCACTGCTAAATCACGTTATTATCTTCACATAAATCATGTGCACAGCCCTAAGATGCACATGGAAATATTAACATGACATTTTCTAACAACATTTTTTTAAAGAAGGAAGGGAAAGGAGAAGGGTCTTTTTTAAAGAAACTTTATTTTTGTTTGTTTATTTTTATGTGGTGCTGAGGATCGAACCCAGTGCCTCACGCGTGCAAGGCAAGCGCTCTACCACTGAGCTACAGCCCCAGCCCCTAACAAATTTTTTGATTAGCAGCAAATGTTTTTCTCCTCTTCTGTAAGTTTTAGGAAACAATAAGCATCAGATATTATTAGATCACTATTTTCATTCAGACTTTTCTCCTCAGGGATTTTTGCTGTCATCTGAAGACTAATTGTATAAGTAGTAAGATATATGGACATAAGTCCTTCCTTAATACTCTATAATCCTAGGACC